ACAAAAGTCAAAAATCATTTATTTCAATTAGACCACAGTAGGCACTTTTGAACGTCAAGCAAGCAAAAAAGGAAAAAAGTATATAACAAGAGCTTTAAAATTAAGCGTGTCAATCTGTCCGTCTGTCCTCTAGTGAAGCTATTTGCTCGTTCCAAAGTGTAGATTCCTATGGAGAAGAACGAGCAAGAAACTCCATGGTTACTCTTTTTCAATCAGTTTTACAATACATTTCTTATTAAACTACAAATTATATACGTTTCTTAAACCACAAATTATAACATTTAATTAGACATTCCATGTAAAAATATTACACTAGTTTTATGCTATGACGTCATGTAAAACAGTCAAAGGTTTTCCCCGACTCCCACTAACCCCTAATCAACCAAAAAATGTGATATTAATATGAAAATGACGGCAATCAGATAGCTGCGCGTGCGCTCAAAGTTACCGTTTCGACCCACATAACTATTAGCTACGTGCAATAATTATAACGATGTGCATCTCAAAGGCGATGGTGCGAGAAACTTCTTTAATAAATCAACTAGTTATGATTGATGCGTGTCTATTTGTTAGTTTGTGTGTCTGCTTCTTTTTTATATATGACACATTTGTTAACGACATTATAGGTATAAATCGATATAATCCGACATCTCCAGTCTAACATAGATTTTTTCAAATAGGCCGGCTCGACCGCACCCCGGCTGGTGGCTGCTGGTACCACGGCTTCTCAGAAAACCGGCGTGAAGCAACACTTACAAAGTCTTTTGCCGGGTGAGTGAGGTTACCGGAGGCCCAATCCTCCCCCTATCCTCAATCCTCCTCTCCGTAAATCCCTAAGAAGCTACAAGAGGTCGGCAACTTGTTTGGTAGTAGGTACGAGTGTCTGTGCCCGCCGCCGATAGCTTCAATACTCCAATCAGGTAATCCTTCAGCTCGTTTTCAGACCCGAGACATAAAATCATCATTCATTTCGACCGTTAAGTTGATCAATTCTTACGAAGTTTGAAGGTCATCATCATGTAGCTTGGCCAAGGATGGTGATAACGTTGAATCCTTAAACGTTGAAGGTGCTAATAATCCAGCAGCTGTCACATTCGCCGATGACGACACAATTAAAAAAGCAAAAAGCGACAAAGCATTTTAACTAAGAGCCAATAAGGAGACATTTTAAAACTTTTGTTGTTTTAAAAAATTACGCCTTTGTGTTAATCGTTGTATATTACATCAGTTAGAAGAAAATAAATAATTATAAAGCCTCCTGTTGCGTTTACATTGAAATTTTCATCAAAGTACTTTATAGAATGGGGTCTAAATTGTAATTTGATAATGAGATCGTTAATGCTTTTTATTTTGGTATTCATGTGTAACTAGCACCCCGTCCCGGCGTTGCCTGGTTGCTATTTTCAATTCTGTTTTCTTCAGTGTAACTTTCATTTCTTGCTATAAAGCTTTACTTTCTTATGCACAAATAATAAATTTATCGGACATTTTTTATAGTGTTGAGCAGAAAAATTAGGACTCTAAAACAGAAAAGTAACAAGTCGTTTGCTTAAAGTTTTCTTATAAATAATGTTTTAGAAATAAGTATTTTTTTAAGTTAAAATATTATGACGTCATCTGTGTTGCTATTTTACACAAAACTACTAAATAAGTATCGTTTTTGACATATCAATATAATTTTTTTCACAATCAAATTGTCCTTAAGCAAGTACATCACCATCTGAAACGAGCGCATAGCTTACGTGCTATATCCAATATGTAATTATAAACTAATAATGAAGTCAAAACATTTTATTTCAATAAAACCTTCACGTGTATAACATGTATTTGTTTAAGATGATAAGGCCTCTAGTCTGCTCCTTTGTGAAGCTAGGTTCTCATAACAAAAAAACTCCATCGTTACTCTTCTAGTCTTATTAACTCCATTATTTAACACTAGAAAGACCAGAGTGGTCAAATGACCCCAATGAAATTTTTGATCAATCATATTATCAAAACCATAGCACTGAACTCATTGTCGTTTTATGACTTTTAATATTTTGTCATTGTTTACATTATTCTGGTATGGGTATACCGATAGCAAGATAAATACTAATTAAAAAAATATCACCTACCTAGAGAGACCGCAGTGGTCATTTGACACCACTGCGTGCTTGCTAGTTACATTTCGTGGAATATACTTGTGTTATGGTATTTGAAATAAAATATTTTTTTCTTGTTTTGTTCTTGTCAAAACAAAGACGTATAACGGCTCGCCATAATAATATAATGCCTCATTATCGTTCCCTTTGCCCTTCAAAAATAGTGGAAGTGTCGCAAAATTTACCGGACGATCAGACTGTGAATCGACTGAAGAAGTGAGGCACATTTTGCATTTAGACTCAGAAAGTCAAGAAAGTGTTTACAATATTACACAAAATAGTGATTCTTTTAGGGATGGTGATCCCACTCGTATTCCGATTCTGATAGTAAGTGTATATTATTTTGTATATTGATGTAAATAAAATAATATTTTTTTACATTGAGAAAAAAGGAAACATTTTATTAGCGTTTACTCCACTGTCTCAGATTCAGTAGACTTTACCTAGTGCAAAACCTAAGAAGAGGTCGAGCTCGAGGTCCCATATGTTTAGAAAGAAATGAAAGCCGTCGACAAAATCAAAGTTCAGGCGAGTGGGTCGTATTGCGACCAATGGACCCACTGGTCGAAATGTAACTACTGATATTTTTTCACCAGTGTAAATATGGCAAAAAACCTAATTGTCACACAGGACAAGTGTTTTATAATAATATTTTGGATCAAATTATTCTTGGATTTTGTACAAAAAACTATCGAGAAAAAAATCAGTAGAAAAAAGTTCATTCTTCACTTGGCCAGGGAGTTAGTCGGCCAAGATTCCCACTCCCTGATAACACCATCTACTTCACAGCCTGATAATAGCATACCCGCTTGCAAAAATGCAGAAATAAAACCAATAAATCGTAAAAATCGTATAAATTCGCTGTAAAAAGCTTTTGTGTGGCTCTTGTAATGTAAACAATTAAATGTCAAAAATGTGCCTAATATTTTTATGTTTTTATTACGTAATGTATGTTTAATTACTATTAAGTTCTTTTATTTACTATAAGATGTTAATCAATAAAACTTAAAACCATAATACATGAATAAAACATTATAACCCATGAATGGGTCATTTGACCCCACCTGGTCTTTATAGGTAGTTCAAAATTTCGGTCTTCCTAGTGTTAAGGAGATAATAACTATATCAATAATCTACAGCTAAATAAAAGTTAAATAAAATAAAATAAGCTAAATAAGTTAGTTTAAATAACGGTCATTAAAAAAAACAATTGAAGAACGATTAATTTTTCACATTCCCCTATATAATAATTTATTAATTTCTTAAAAGAAGCTGTTATTTATAAATGTTTCACAAAATGTGTGTATTTATTATACACACATTTTCTCAGGATGCGTCAACTTAATAACATCCATGTTTCTCTGAAATATAATTAAGCATTCTTGTCTAAATTATTTCATGTAGGTATTTATAATTTAGCGATCTCCCCGGCTTTGCAATTCAATGCAGATACAAAATACGTTTATTATTTAATGAAAGTGAATACGTATAAACCTTCATCTACAATCATTCTATCTGTTAAAAAAACCGTATCAAAAAACATTGTGAAGTTTTAAACATTAAGCACACATAGGGATATAGGGACAGAGAAAACGACTTTCTTTTGTACTATCTAGTAAAGTTTTGTTTTTCTTTTAAATAAAACGTTGCTTCACATTAGGATTTTCTCCTGTGTTGTGGGTGCGGTTACAAACATAGAATATCACATACTCATGTGCATCATCATCATGAACAATAAATTGTGGATTACACAAACAGTTGTTCCGTGCGGGAATCGAACCCGCGACACGTTGTACGACAGCCAGTTGCCCAGCCACCGCACCAACCGTGCAGTCAAAGTGAAGTGTGCCAGCAATTTTCTCTGGAAATTTTAGGTGTTAATTGTTCCAGAATCAGTTTGATCAGATAATTAGTCTGAAAATACGAACATGAAGATTGACATAAAGACAGTAACCATTGATCTTCTATACCAAATCTATCAATCATCAAAATAAAATATAGCCTAATTAAAAATTACAACTTATTGTAACAGTAGCTACTGTATCTGTACCGATTCTTTGATTTTAATTTCGGAATTTAAAATTAAAATGATGAAAAAGATTTGAAAAATGCGTTGAATACCATGACAAGTTCAAGGTCGAAGCACCGGCTTCTCATGCATACATCCCCATGCATTGGGTTCGAAATTTGGCAAGATACCAAAGTGAAATTTTCCGAATCATAAGTTCTTTTTAGGCAAACAAACCTAAACTTTTAATTTCTTATTATAAGTATGAAATCGCTAATTCGTCTTGAGCAAGCAAGGTGATTAATGCTCAAACCCTTTTAGTGTGAGAAGAGGCTTTTGCTCAGCACGTCGATTCTATAAAATTTGTTTGATTTTGAATCGTGTTCGAGTGCGAAGTGAGCGTCGAAGTGACGAGGAAATTAAATTTTAGAATGCCACTTTTAACGTCATTTCACACTTTATCTATCAAAATGTTGCTGTCAATTTAGTTCAACTCGCAAGTGTAGCGCTAGTGTACTACTACTCACAGCGGATTCAGATTCGAAGTTTAGAATGAAGTCTTACAGAATGACACTGCAGCAGTGGGCACTTATAGGCTGATGATGATGATGTCAGTTCGGTTCAGAAAATATATAATTAGAATTTCAGTTTCAGTAGGTACCACTTAGTAAAATGCTAATAAATACTATTGATAAGTTCATGTTTCATAAGTTCAATTTCCAAAGAATTCTAAAGACATTTATATAAATAAAAATGAAACACATTTGCTTAATTTTATATAAAATTTATTACGAAATAAACAATTTAATAATAAATTAAAATTTGTAATAATTTAATAAATAAACACGAATTTAACGTAAGGATACACCGCCGCAGGTCTTGTCTAGAAACACTGGTATCGCGGAGAACCTCTTGCAGGACTTCTTTCGTTTCCTCTTGTCTTCCGGGAGAAAGTTCCAGATGATCAGGTCTTCATCTGCTGTCGCTGTAGCTGGGAAAGCAAGTTAGGGATGAATTAAAAAAAATGTGGATTCACTCTAAGATTTTTTCGTTTGTCATGAAGGAGTTTTCAATCAACTATTTCTTTCTACCTAAATTTTATTATAGTAACGAATGTTTTCTAAATTCTAAAAGCTTTGATTCAAAATAGTTTCATATAGCATTCAGTAGATTCAATATAGCATTCAGTATTTTTTGTTGTGGAATATTATTTTAGTTTAAAATCTATACAATATACCTACGTAAGTTGCAAATATATGGTGGTGATATCACAAAAAGCAATTTCATACAAAATTCATCTATCTTTTTTGACATTAATTCATTTCAAGGGAACATTTGAAAAGAAGTAATACATTCGACCAGTTGGCATCACCTTTATTGTGTAGGTGTGTAGAAATAAGTTCATGCGCTATAAAATCGAGACTAATGTCACTCCGACCAGAACCAGACCCGAGTGTACGGCGCGTAGCGTTAGCGCCTAATGATCCAACATACCACTTGTAGGAGAAGCACCTCTTGCCCCACAAAGACCAAGAGAAGTCAATAGTGAATTTACCCCTCCAAAAAATAAGGGATTACCCTTTACCCAATCTCCAACCCCTTACAAGCTTTGCAACGCAATAGGCCACAATAGGGATGATGACTAAAAAATAATAATTAGGCCATCTTTTAGAACACCAGAAAATAGTAGACAAGTATTTTTCTTTTGCTTCTAATACTTAAAATAACAAAGTTACAGAGCGGCGAAAGTTCGCGCTACGTCATTATTTCGTAATTTTTTTACGAAAGAGTGACGTCACGAGCCCCTACTCCTGAATTTGAATGTGCTGTATCTTTGTCAATATTATTCGTATGGACAGATAAAAAAATACGTATTGAGTATTTTTCTATAATCTAACTGACGGACGAATTAGAATCTTGTTGTTTTAACCCAGGAGACATCCCTATTGCTTAGGTTCAGATGCTTTGCCCACAAATTAAAATTCATTTATTCAAGGGATTTGACTATGTTTCTTACCAAGTTTAGTCCCGTCCGGGCTAAAGACCATGGTCCTGACGCGGTCAAGGCCTTGCCTGCCCTCCCCCCATTGGTCCACCATAGTCTCCGGGTCGCTCAGCACCACCAGCTGGGAGCAAGGCTTTGGGGGTAATGACCCCCTGTCTAAATAGAAAAGATGTTATTGATTTTGAAAAGGATAGTGAGTTTAATATTTTTTGGCACCGTGCCTCACTGCTGTTAATATGAGTAACATAAAATATAAAAAATGTTCGTTTATATTGGCGTTTTTGTCAAAAAGTCAGACCTATTCAGAATTTAATGATTAGGTAAGGTTAATTCTTTTTTTTTTTATAATAAACGTTCCCCCTCATCAGGATTTTCTCCTGTGTCGTGGGTGCGTTACATAGAATACAAATTAAAATACACGTCACATAGACCACAATGTAAAGATTGTACAGTGTTGTTCCGTGTGGGAATCGAACCCACGACACGTTACTCAGCAGCTAGTTGCCCAGTCACTATACTGATACCTAGGTACATTACATTTGATTGAAAGTATATTATCTATTTATTGATAATTGTATTTTGATATTTTGTAGATCTAATAATACAAATGCGGAATTACGACTTATTCGAATATGCATTTTCAACCAGAAGACTATCCCAAATATTTATGATTACCTTCAAATGTATTCCAGAGGCTAAGCACAAGCTCGCCAGTCTTCTTGCTAAAAAGCATGGCGTCGAGGCAGTATTGGTTCCTACTGAGCGTGCGCTTGCGCAGCTTGCCGGTCGGCGCGTCCCACAGCGCCACGCGCGTCTGCAGGCTGGATGATACCGCGCCGATACCGAGCAGTGCACTGCGCCATGGGTGCCATGTTAATGCCTAAGTAAATAATAGACGTCAAGTCAAATATTTTTATGTTATAGCACTTAGTGTCTGTACCACACATTGATAGACTGGGAGAAATTTCCCTTAGACAATAAGGTCTATATGCTCATTCAGCCTCAAAATTGCACAGGAGTCTAGGATAGCACAGGATATCTATAAGTACTCCTGTGCAATGTTCTAAGTATCTTACTTGAATTGACTAATTTTGCTCTTGTGAGAAAATAAGGGCAGGTCGTGTTTATAAAATCTTATAATAGATCGCCTTTTTGCTTACTCTTTCATTTCATAAGTACTTAATAAAAATATGAACTGTGAAAAAAGAATAAATTCTAATATCCCTTGCATGAACTACTTACTAGACTGACACCGAGAATACTTTTTATGCTGTGTTTACTAAGATCAGGAGAAGGGTTTTATAAAAGAAAATTAGAAAAATTCAGGGAAAAACGACAAATAGTAAAGAAAAATAACGATGAATAATGATTATTGTGGATGGTCAATAAAACACTGCATAGTAATCCAAAAAAAGATCACTAATTTCCACAATTGGCATAGTCGCTTAACACTTAGAGGAAAGAAAACAAAAAAAGATATGTTACCTTAATAGTCCAGTCCGACTTTAGAGTAGAGACGGGCTGAAGACCAGGCCAGGAGAAGACGCAGACGAGGTCATCGTTGACTGCGGCCGCCGTGACGTAGCGAGCGTCAGGCGACACGCGCACTATGAGGATAGCGTTGTGGTGCGCCTGGCACCAACTTATTGGCTGACTGTTCCGCGTAAACGCACTCAACATCCCCTGGGAACATCCCCTGATGGGAAGCACGAACTAACATTACAAGATAAAGCTAAATATTTTTCAACACACTTTAAGATCTAGACTTTCTCATAAAGTGGCTCTTATCCCACGGCAATTAGGCACGTAAAGACACCTAATCTAAGTATAAATTTTTCATTATTATTATTCACGAGAAGTTTTAATAAAAAATCGATAACCCAAATAGTTTTTTTTAAATATTGGTTCAGTTATGGTCCTTGCGCTAAAATGCTATCTGCTCAAAGCCCAAAAAAAAGAAACATCATTTTTTAGTCTATGGCCGATGCGCGCGCATGTGAATACCAACTGATTTACTTTTTAACATTTTTCACAACTCGTCTCGTTTTCTCTTTTGAAGTTTTTTATTCAGAAATGTGTTGAAAAGTGACGTATGATTCATGTGTGTATTGATGATTACCGTCCTCGGCTCCTTAAAACCCACGCCTAACGGCTGGGGCCTTAATGCGCCTCTGCGGTAATCACCAACAATACACACTTGTACCATAATGTGCTATAATCAGCGTATTGTTTGTTTATTATCAAAATAGAAGAGAAACCTGTTAGATAATGACCAGTTTTCACTTCACAATAGTTACTATTTAGCAGCTCACAATCAGTATATATTTTTCAGGTTACTACATATATTTACGTGATAAAAGAGTTTCCAGTGGGGCTCCAGTCCACGGCAGTGATGGAGCAGTACGGCGGCTTGGCATCCAGACACGAGCACAGTCCCCTCTCGATACATTTACTTTGAGCGTTGTCGTGCACTTCCACCGACTTTAAACCAGTGCCTAGCTGAAATAAAGATGTTTAGTTTAATTTCAAAAGATGATGAAAAAAATAGGGAACGTATTTATAAAATACATAATCCAAACTACATAATATTATAAATCCGAAAGAAACTCAGTCTGTCTGTCTGTTTTTTTTCGCGCCTAAACTACTGAACCTATTTGTGTAAACTTGATTCAGATGTAGTTAGGAACTCGAGAAAGGACATAGGATAATTTTTTAAAATCTGCAGAAAGTTACTATTCCACGCGAACAAAGTCGCGGGCAAATGCTAATGCATTATGCGATAAATAATCGAACTTTTAATTACGAATCATGGCGAGTTTTAATAAGTAGATGATCGATTTGTTTTTAGAGTCTTTACAAACAGTTATTTAGCCAGTATACATCATACTAATTGACACAAATGATACTAGTTTTTAACCCCTACCGTAGATCCATCAACAATTATTATAGCTCATTACACGACAGACAATTTTCATGGCCTCTATTTTCATTAACATAGAGTTGCTTTTACAAAGTATGAATGTTAATATTGTCTAATGTATAAACATTCGAATGGTTATAAAAAGATAGGTCGAATTTGCCGGTAACTTCGATGGTGGTCCGTTGCACAACAAATGATAGACTTGGTTATGGTTTTTCAATTGGCTATTTGATTTTATTTTAATACTACATATTTCAAATCGTCATAATCGGCAATTCTTGTTTTTTTATGAGATTTGTATAGTTGTGACGGCCTTTTTAACTTAAAAAGTCTTTTTGGATTCTGGTATGAACTTATAATATAATCTCTTTGGCTATACCCTTTGTATCAGGCTGGTTTTAATATCATTGAAAGTTTAACTTTTTAAGAACACAATTCTAAATTCAATTTTTATTCGTTTCTCATACCGTCAAGATGAGTGAATCTAATGAAGAAATTCGATATATTTCAAAAATTTTACTACAAAAAAGTTTACAATGCAACGAAAGCCGCGATAAAAATTTGCGTTGTTTAGAACATTAATTCGGTTTTTAGGCATTTTCAATCCTGAAAATATGATGTCAAAGATGCATGTCGCTATGGTCGCCCTATAACGGAAAAATGCATGCCATTTTTGAAAAATTGGAGCAAAGAATGCTTTTCTCCCAACCTTTTAATATATATTATCGTAACATCGACGATTTGCGTATCATATTTTTTGGATATTTATAGTTAAAATAATTTATTTTTAAGTAGGTAAATCAAATACTTATTTTTTAATGAAAATACTTACAATAAGCAGTTTCCCTTGAGGGTCGAACTTGCAGCAATGTATCTCGTAATCCGTGACCCCTTGGCTGATGAGGCTCTGTGTCCTCCACGACCACTTGTGGTAGTTCCTGCCCAGTGCTGCTACCAGGATATTGTCGTTCGACCAGTCGAGTAACTCAGGAACTAAGGGGAACAAAATGTTAAAAGTAATAAGTGCTATAGTAAGTAATCTTATTAATAGTGAGTTTCTAAAAGCACAATATTTTAAAGTACAATATTATTATGTGAGGCGGTGGTAACTGAGCAGACGGTTTACCTGGTGGTAAGCAACTGGAGCCGTATTTTGCCTAGTATTCTACGGCCTTCTTGATAGGCGAATATAGGCGGTATTTCGCTTTGCGATCGAGATAGGTGAAGGCGAAATCCATCCATCCATCCTTTCCCAACCCATTAGTGTCCAAAACCCCTCATCTATTAAAGGCTGGCATCCCACTTGTAACAGCTTTGGTGTTGCGGGTATCCATAAACAGCGCTTGCTTACCATCATAAACATAAAAAAGTCCAAATTACTTACATGCAGCATAGCTATAACTGGGTAGATCTAGGATGCTATCGGCTGAAGACAAGTATCTTCTCTTCCTAGGTATGCAAGGCCACAGCTGTACGGACTCGTCATCATCAGCCTGTGATGGTTCCGTCTTCATCGGCTCCAGGCCGAAAGCCTCGTCTAAGTAGCTCGCATATTTCTTTTGTTGAAGGTATTTTGAATACTGTAATGGTTAATATTTACAATACATATATTAATTAAGTTATTTTTTTTATTTCGGAATGGCCAGACATTTGGCCAGTATCACGCCTGGTGGTAAACGATAATGCGACCTACGATGGCAGCATGCCTACACATAAGCAACCTATTCACTCTGGCCTTGAAGACACACAGGTTATACCAATTTAAGGTGCTTTATGCGCCATTTTATTTTTTTATCATGTGCAACCATTATGCGGCCATTGAGGGACAGACCTAACAGTATACTGGCTGTACTGGCAGACATAAATTGAGGGGCCGTTTATAAGATATAGGACATAGTAGACATGTGCGTCCTGATGTCCATGTCAATAATTGATTAATGTTTTCTACCTAACGTTAGGATAAGAAATTGCACTTCGTGCGTAATTTGTGAACCACGTTATGCAGAATAGAGGCAATTTTAATTTAACTTGTACATTTTTATAAATTGAATTTACTGTTCTGGAGCGCGAAATTTCTTCTCTATTGTAATCTATAAACACAATACTATCTCTCATTAAGAGTGGCAAATATTTATGTAGCACCTTTTATAACATAACATAATACCTACATGTGGAAACATGTATGTATACTATATAATATAAAACCCATAATCACACAGCTACGATGCTACTTTGATAATTTTCAAAAAACCACAATGTCCTCGAATTTTTTGCCCGATGATAGTACCGAAATCGGGACCAGTCAGCCTTATTGTGTGTAAAAATCATGACTATCAGCCTGTATATCATATTCTCTACTACTATTAAAAAAATCTCTCTCCCTCACGGAAAAGGCATTAAAACACGCTCGCTCAATGCTGATTTGCGATTTCAAAACTTATTTACCAAGCACAAGTTTCCTCATAATATTTTCCGATTAAAATGTTTTTTCTACACCACATGTACATATGTCTCAATAATCGTAGAAGGTACACATTCATATTTTGGAAAACGCCACTTTACGGTTAACGGTTTAGATTTGGAACCCTGAATTATGTAAAAATATTCTTTCGTGCCAGAATTTGGATTTGCAATTGCATAAAATTAGATTTTATCCATTGGAGCAGCAAGGTGATAATTGTTTCCGTCCTATTTGTCTCAGCGGGGGACTCTTCACAGATAAAAAGCTCAGCATGCTTTGCGTGCGTTTAACATAGAATATATACTATGTTAATATTTGTCTGTTTGTTATTTTATATTTATGGAGACAGAGATAGATGGAGATATGTATCTTGGTCCTAAAAAATCGTATGCTAGTCATGAGATTTTAGTTTTAGTATCTACAAAAATTTGGAGTTAGTATTTCGTATTAAGCTCTAAAGATCTGTAGATTAGTACAGAGCGCAAAATCCAATTATGAAATGTTGATTCTGCCCCTTAAAATTGAGATCTATAAACGATTAAGTGAGTTGTCTCTCGTTGTAAATGATACATTATACAAACGTTAACATTTAAAAATTATCATATGATATTTACAACAGTACTATAATAAAATATAGATAAATAAGATGCCCTTAGCAATATGTCGATTAATATAATGCTTGTCATTATCCATCCAATAACGGCAAGCCAAGGTTAACTCCTTACAAAAAAACAAAAGATTATTAAAGATATAAATTACAAAATTAAGGTGCTGTTATTACAATAACAAATCAGGAAACACATAATACATATATATACAAATTTTGAGGCGAAAAGGGTTGCTTTTAATATTACTAAAACAAATTTTTAACATTCAAATTGCTCTTTCTTACACTTTCGCACTGAAATTGGAAGAATCCATATGAATACCAGATTAGTAGGGGAAATACAAGGTTATTGTGTCACTTTCTTCCGTTTGCTGATGGAATTTAGGAGATATTTTTTGACAAATGACCAAGACTTACCCAGACGTCATGAGTGCCATTATCCGTGGCACCCCACCGAATCTTCCTGCACAGCTCCGGAAATTGTTCTCTTGGCACTATGAACCTGTCTACTCGGGGTCGCTGCCCATTCAACTGTAAACAAAATGTTTTTATAGTGAGCCCCACGAGAGCGCTACTGCGAAACATAACTAGTTTTCTAGTAACATTACACGAAATACTGAGAAATAGTGTAAAACATACATGGAATAGATAATGCGTTTTCCGCGGACGATCGCTCGTTTTCTGGGAATGTGCGCAGTGGCTAAGCTAAGCTTCTCAGAATATGGGCATTCAAGTGCACAGTATTGTTAGGCCGAGGTACGCTATTCCATAATTATTTATCAATTTTTATGTTTTGTAGCTAAACGATTAGGTCAAGTAAGAAACTTTTAGTGCTCTCGGGTTCCGAATAAAATCAGTTTTAAATTGACAAAAAATTATTTTTTTGTTTATTTTATTTGTATTTGGAAAATATTTTTTGATGACGATCAGCATACTACTTTATGTTGGGAAAATGTGAAAAAAATTGTGAACATTTTTGATTTGAAATTTAATATAATTAGTAACTCGTATATACGTAAATTATAAATACGTAAGTCTAAGTAATAAAAGGCTCAAACAACAGAGCTGGAATCTTACGATTTCAACAAGTAAATATGTTCATATTAGATAACTCTTATTTACGATAATTGCAGGAATTTAAAAATTAAAGAGAGAAATCATATTTCTAATAATTCATCAACATTTAAGTTGTTATCAGAATACCTATTAATACCACTACTAAGTATGCTATTCTGTAAGGTATTAAATTGGAGTTAAAAGCAAGGAATATCTCCTATATGAAGTATATTTCACTTACCTTAAAGTTAAAAGAACATATTGTTTACTCAGAGTATTTTAATAATAACTTATAATAACCCAGTCTTTAGCGGTTGTACCACTAAAGTACCTAGTTCAAGCGCAAAAATATACCGCTACCTTGGCTTGAAGCAGGGGAAGGAACGGGGAGGTTTTTAGTCAGTACGAGTCTGGCACTCCCTCTGGGTTCTCCGAGGGCGAGAGAAGACTTTCGATGATTTTCTCCTCTTTAAAACCTGCTTTCTAAACCCGAACTAAGGAATTGTTTAAGTTATCATTAAACTTCTCTGAGTATGACACTAAGTAACATAAGCAAATCTTTATTTTCTATATAACTTTATCCTATGAGTATGTGTATAAGCATTGAATAAAAATGCAACACGATAAGTAATGTATAATAATCTTAGAAATTAACACTTTAGTAAAACCAATATTAAATTATTTAGATATTTTATCTTTAACTTGTATTATTTTGTAGTATCCGAATTACTACTAATTAAGTACTATTCGTTTCATTATTATGAAAAGAATACTACCTATTGGTAGTTTGCTACCTTGCTTTGCTAGCTATTGGTAGCAAATATCTAGATTGCCAATTGCGACATTACCAGCCTGACATTATTCTACTACCGAGAAAAGGTCTCTTCTCAGACGGAAAAGGAATAAGCAGTAATTAATCTAAAGATCGTAAAGTAATCAATCTTCACGCCGGATTTGTTATTTCAAACTTTATAATGATGAATGAGGTACAATGTGTCTAAATAATCTTATTAAATACATATGTATGGCAACATTGTCGCATTAGGTTGTGTACCGGTAAAGATGCTGTACATGAATAAATAAATATAACTCGGAAAAGGACACTCAACTTGGTGTTTCTGCCAGTATTCGTAACGGAATTGTCATCATCAGCCTGATGTCGTCTACTGATGGACATAGGCCTTCCCAATTGCACGTCACTGAGCCCGATGTTCAGCTCTTCTCATCTAACCACTGCCAGCCACCCAGCGGATGTCGTCAGTCCACCTAGCTGGAGGGCGCCCTACACTACCTTTACCTAGCCGCGGTCTCCACTCTAGGTCCACAGATGTGACCTGCCCACTGCCACTTCAGCTTGCTAATCCTTTGGGCTATGTCGATAACTTTAGTTGCGCATTGATATTATCTACTTATTAACGTAATGGATGGTAAATATTGGTAAATACATAATCAGTTATCATACCAATGAAGAGTAAGATCATTGACACAACGAGTTCAAGCTTATTTTATTAAGAGGTTTTGAAAAGAAAAGAACTGCTTATAATGAAGACGTGGAGTCCATATTTGCGTGGCGACTTCTGTTATAAATTTATGTATTATGTATGTAATAAAACATTAATAGATAATAAATTAATGATGGATGTTCAAAATCAAAACTCCAACCTTCTCCCTGTGAGAAGAGGACTTTGCTCAGCAGTGGGCACTCATAGGCTGATGATGATGACGATGATCGATATTCGTAAGATGGTAAGATAATTTGTTTACATCAGAGTATTATATGAAATAGATAAGGAATTTATGTTTTTATATGTATCCATTACTCATCTTCCGAAATTTGCTGATCTAGAAGTTTTTCATTGTTTAATATAGTACTGTAGATGTAGTAGATATCCCATGTCTAATATTTTATTATGATCGATAAGTGTAGAAAAAATCGATAAAATATCTATAAAAACGAGTAGACTTTTAAACAGCTAAAAAGGAAGTTAGAAAGGTGAAGAAGTGTGTTTGACTGCTCTGAGTATTATTTATTGTGTTTTATTACTATCAATAGTAGTAGTTAAATGTTACTTATCCAAGCCAGTACTAAGGTTTTTAAGAAATAAACAAATCTGTTACCATGGTAACGATATTTTGACCACCACTGATTTTGGGCTTTGAATGTCTAGACAGAACTTATTATTTATCTGTAGGCAACTTCAGAAGTTACTCGTAGATACGCGGATTTAATCTATATGTCTTCATCGTTGTGTAAATAACAAAATTATAGATATGTTAAAAGGAAACTATACATATAATTTAACACGGATTGAGCCAGTTAAAATGTTAAATATGACAGTTCATTTAAATCAATCGAAAATTGTTAAATTGTGGCGAATATGATTACAAGTCACCAATCAAAAATAACCTTTGGCAGCAAATGATTGCAATTTCAACAGTTAATTATTGCTTCCTTTACAAATACATGGTTAACTGTTACTAGTTAAATATTGATATTGGCGGCATGTCCTTTGACGAAAACCATACGACAGCTGTTACCGAAGGTGTTAACTCATAAAACATGCATATTTATATAACCATTGGACTCTGAGCGTCACCTGTTTACCGTACATTTAATTAGAACTTGATAAATGACGCTTCTTCTTGAAAAAGTCAAAATTTCAAAGTCAATGGCTGTCGATGTATATTCACTGCATTGCCCCGCAAGGATCCCCAGGTAACGCGACTCTGAACTTTTTCACACATCGCTAATGGCAATCATTTTGCCGCAATCATACTTAACAGGGGCTTTTAATATTACGTGCCGGAGCCAGCGTTTATGTAGCTACATAACTTTTTTTTAAACATCAATGTTTTGTAGAGAAAATATTTATCATATTAATACTACGTGATGCAACTAAAAACAAAGTTATTAATGAAAAAAATTGCTTCGATTAGGAATTGTTATGAACTAATTGTGTAGCTTTCCAGAGGTAGGTTTCTAATTAAAAAGGTGTAAACTAATTAGATGTTTTTATGTATGTGTGTAGAATTTTAAGTTGCAGCTTTATTGAGATCTGGCGTTCGTTATTCCTGGTATAACAAGCAAAAAGTATAAGAGACGGTGTCAGTTAAAAATTCATGACATATATTTAAATTTTCACTCGTACTTATTTGGAACTAGCGACATTTTCACACATTTCTCTGACTCATTGGAAAAGATGGAAAAGGTGGGCTAATGAATTATTAATAACCCATAAATGTAGGAAAGAAAGATCAAAGGCCAGACTAATCTTTTAATTAAACATTAATATTATTAATTAAGGGGGTTGGCGATAGTAATATATCCCATTAAGGGCTGATTTTTCATTAGTCAGATAAATGTTATCTAAGGAATAAAATTGTTGCTGTCACTGTCTTGTACAAACATTCTGACGCGACAGCATCATAATTATTCCCTAGAAAACTTTTATCTAACTACTAAAAAATCAGCTCCTAATATTATAAATACAAAATAAGGTTTGTCTATTACCTTATTATCTACTCAATTGAGCGAGTGAAGCTAGTTTTATAGGTAACTCATACAATTATGTAACGACAAAAATCAAATAAAAAAAATGTTTTGTTTATGGCCTCCTAGTATCTAAATTATAAAAAAAAACAAAACGAAGTACAATACTGGTTTTTATTTTCTGAGAATGGAAACCGAATCTACAATAAATTATAAATATATTTAATACTCACTATAGTTGTTAATATGTCAATACATACACGTAAATATAATATGTATCAATAACAATTTTAAGTATGGAATCTCAGCTAAATTTCAATTTTTAATGAAAAACAATTCGAAACGATGTTTATTGATTTCTGCAATAGATAATTATAAATAGCAATTTTGAAATCCAATATCTAAAAATTTGGTTAATAAACAAAGAAGTTATCAGAGAATAAACATAAAAAATCATAGCTACGTCCGAATCGAGAAGCTTGTTCCATTTGAAAGTTGGTTAAAAATTAGCTAGACTAGTCTAAGCGATGCTAATAAGTGTGGTTCACATAATATAAATCGATTATAGGTACTTACAGTTTTCTTACCAAAAGTTGATCTATTCATTGTAAATTAAACACAAAACACAATAATTATTAACTCTTAGTTAGTATTATATTTAAATAATTACTTTTAAAAACATTTATGACGTTATAACTGAACTTTTTTGTTTGACATTTTGCGTTCTTTTTTTTTAGATTTACCCGCGATTCGTAATTTTGTTATTGCGTTTGATAAATTAAGGCAAAGGTAGTTCTACCAGCCAATTATGTAAGTATAATATTGTTATAATTAATTTGTATATTAAATTCGTATTGACAATTGTTAATAACACTTTATCTACATGTGAATATGACAAAAAATAAATAAGAATTAAATATGGCTGTGTGTAAAAAAAAAACAAGTCAGCTCGTTTTCCTCTTTGTCGTTGAATGTTGAATAGAAGTTTTAACAATCAATACCGTCAAAGCCCTTGATTTTTTAATTTTCAGTAACACTATGGACTCTGGTATTATACTGGACTAGCTTCCACCCACGGCTTCGTACGCGTATAAAAGTAATACATCTCGGGATTTTAAAAACAGCAATTTTTAAAACAATTTGTCGTCTAAAATACGTGCTTAGTAACATTGTAATGTATCAGTGAAAGAATTTTGGAAATCCAACGTGCCTTTACAAAGATTATCCCCCTACATACACACTTACATTACCTCTTTATAATAAATATTGGTAAAGGTGTGTAAATAAAAGATGAAAAATAGGCTAACATAATAGCAATTGCCATTACGTTTCAACATACGCTTGTAGGAAATACTTTATCGGGGCAACATTCCAATAGCTGAGGACTTGAGGTGTTAGCTGGAGATAAAAGGTCGTGACTCCAAATCTAACATTGATTTACAATATTATGGTCAGCTGTTTATATTGCTCCTTATAATCGTAAGTCTTTCCTTACGGTCTTGAGTTCTCGAGTCGAACGACGTATTTATTGTTGAAAATTTCGGTTTTAGGTAAATTTTAAAGTGTGGGAATGCCATGCATCGTGCCTTAGTTGGATCAGCCGTGACGTGAGTTACGTCATGGCTTCTCAGAAACCAGGCGTGAAATTAAATGATGCTAGCGTTATATTTCGCCTCGTAAGATGATCGGAGAACCATTTTTTCTCTGGGCCATCTTTCAATTTTCAAATCTCCCAAAATGTCTGCTCGACCAGATTGATACAACGGTCTTACAGAAAATCGGCGTGACACCTTAAGTCACCGAGTGAGTTTACCGAAGGCCTAATCCTTACCCTCCCTGCCATACCTCCCCAATTTCTAAATCCTCCAAACTCCTTATCCACAAAAGCCGAATACGAACTTGCTACTCGTCGCCGATAGCTTACTATCTAATCATTTGCTGTTGCATCACATAAAAAAAATCGCCGGAAAAAAGTGCGTCCTTTATTTAATATTAAAGGATGCACCGTGATAATCGTGATGCATAAGTTCTAGGTCTTTTTTTTGTGAGGGGAAAATCATCAAATTACTTCTCCCGCCCAGGGCCGGGCGGGAGGGAGTGTCAGACTACTATTATTTTCTCCTGTGTCGTGGGTGTGTTAAGAAACATACAATTTCACATACACATGACACAGACCCGGAACAACAACTTGTAAAACACAGACAGAGTTGTTCCGTGAATTGAACCCGCGACACGTTGTGCAGCAACCTGTTGCCCAACCACCACGCCAACCGTCCAGTCAATCAAGATAACAGAGTACATACAGTAGGTATATAATTATGTACACTGTGTGTGTATTTAGTAGTACATATTATGATGATCATTATGATCTTATCCAAAATTATAATTAAACATAACATATTAAATTTCAACAACACTTTTCTTTTGCAGATAGGTAATATACACTACATATACATATCTAGATACCTAACCTACTGCATGCATTTAAAACCATAGACAGAGGCAAGTGCCACAGACTAACATAAATAAATAAAGACATTTATTAAACCATAAACTAAAGCGTTTAAGGTGCCACACGCCTGTTTTATGGTACTGGCACACATAAATTCTCATACGACCACCTCACCTGAGAAATACGATGTCAATCATACAACAATCAACTTTAATTCTCTATTGATATGGTTGAGAATTTGATTGTTAAAGAAGAGGAGTAAAAAATTGCAATTGTTTTTTGATATCCTTTCTTCCTTACTAATATTTAAATGCAAAAGTGTTTTGTTTGTTTGTCTTTTACATCGCAGTGGAACGCTTTTATATAGTTTTCTCTTGTACTCTTTTCTTTTGAGGGGGGATTTCGACAATGATTCCACCGGCCCTAGGCGAAGCGAGAGAGAATGTAAGACTGTTACTAATTAGAAACGAAACCCCGTTCCTTTTCCTGCTCCAAGTTGGGCCGTCATACATTATTGCGCACCCACAACTCTGGTGGGCCCCATCTCTAAGTTTTCTTTTTCTTTTTTTTATTTAATAGGTCGGTAAACGAGCAGACGGATTACCTGATGGTAAGCAATCAGCGCAGCCCATTGACACCCGCAACGGAGGAGTTACGATTGCGTTGCCGACCTCTTAGGGATTTGTGTTTTGGATATTAAGGGATTGGATTGGGGAGGGATCGAGTGGCATGGCAAACTAATGAGTCTTTCAGGTGAGGAGAAACTCATGCTAGGCTCTGGTTGGTCGGCGAGTTATTCTTGCCTACTAATGTGACTTTGTCAGAGTTATATGTACTTTCTATGATTATTTAGACACCACTGACCAACGGTGAAGGACAACATCGTGAGGAAACCTGAATTTATGATTTTATCACTTATATATTATATATTATTTTAATAAGTTTGCAATCATCAATCCGCCTTTAGCAAGCATTGTGTTTAATGCTCAAACCTTCTCCTTGGGAAAAGGCCTTTACTCAGCAGTGGGCACTTATAGGACCATGATGTGATGTCCTGTAGGTAAGGTATAAAATTATTATTCCTAGTTTATTTGAATTAATATGTTACTTAAATGTTAATAATCCGGTCACAGTAAACATCTTCAGTCGATGACATTTCGAGATAAGTCGCGTATAATTTTATGACATGATACTAATTACCTACGCTCACATCGTAAACGCGGGCTTAAGATTCCTTCTCATTAATATCTTTGACTCAAACATTAATTATTTTATATTTCAAATATATAATATGTAGGTAGGTGTGGGAGCACCATGCTTCGGCAAGAATGTTTCGGCTAGACCGAAGTGAGAGAAAATTGCGTGAAACAACCACAGCGTTGTGCTTCACCATGTGCATGAGGTTATCAGTGGCGAAATTCTTCCCCTCCCTCAATCTTTAAGTCTCCAAAACCAAACTCTTCGTGTCGAATAAATAACTTTTGTATACCTTTTCTAAATATAAGTAAATGCAATAAAAAAATAAAAAAAAATAAAGTTATGTTGGACAAAAACCCAAAAACGGTGTAGTATCAGCTCGCCCCCTGGATCTTGCCCCTTCCGATTAAACTGTTTCACTCGCCCCGTTTTTATTAATTTGGAGTTGTGGTTCGCCCCTTACGAAAACCCTTACGGGGCGAGTGAAAAATTTTAACAATTAAATAATTATTTTGATGCATCGACTCGCCCCTTGCGGCATTCCCTTTGAAATTTAACTAAAAAAGGTATATTCAGAAAAATGTACAGTAAACAAAACTGGTAAGTAATTTAACCACTTGTGATAGTTTTATTACCTGGCTTACCTACTGTAACAAAAGGGACCTTTTATGGGACCATTATTGAAGTTTTAAGAAAAAACATTCATTTAAATGCTCATATACTCATATACTATCCCTTAAATGCTCATATACTCATATACTATCCCTGCTTTACAATATTCTTTTCCACCCTACCACCTCCTTTTATCTCAAAAATCGTTTTGAGTTTGTTAGTGATACTCACTTAAAATCTCTTAGGTCATCGGAAAACTTAAAATTAAAAATGCCAATGCACTCGTCAACTTTTTATGACAAGTCCTTTACGGTACAAGCTACACGTCTATGGAATGCACTGCCAGTCACTATTAGACGTGCTCAGTCACTTGCCGAATTTAAAAGAATGGTGAAGGACCACTACTTGGCTTGTTAATCCTGTCATCACACTGTACCTATACTTTCTAATCACTATCAATTTTATTTATTTATCATTTTTGTTCTTTATATTTTATGTTCTCATATTATGCATGTATATGTATTTATCTCAATGTATGCCATTAACTGCCCCGTTCCAACCTCTTCTATAGTTTGATTCCATCCAAAGGTTGTCTGGAAGAGATTGCTTTTTAGCGATAAGACCGCCTTTTGTACTCATGTTTGTTTGTTTTTGTATATTTTTTATGTTCTTGTCCTAGTGGTGTACAATAAAGAATATTATTATTATTGATATGTGTGTTCTTTTCCACTCACGGGACCACAGGGTCCCGGACTTTTGGAAGGCGTACGAGGGGCCGAAGCCAACTCGCAGAGGCCCTTTGAACAACTTTAATATAAGTGAGATGGGACATCAGCCGGCAATTATCCCTGTATGCACTATGAAAGTGCACCCAAGGATAATCCCCGGTTGATGCAGGACTATTGCGAAATGTGGTAAAAATTTATAGGGTTATGGGTATGGGTTGCTATGGACTGGTGAATATGATAACTATGGAAATACTATGGCCCCTGCCCCTGACCAATATTGATACATACGGATAAACAGGCAGGGGGTGACTGGCAAACTCAATTAATGGGCCCCCGGAAACGGCCGCTAGCATGTAGCGACAAGGGGGCAACATACGTTGAGCTGCTTGGGGAAGGAGAGGTATCCCACGGCTATCAGAGCAATCCCGGAAGTACGGTCAAGACCCCTACCAGCATCTTACTGAGATACATCCTTCCCCCGAGTCTCCTTCAACTCCTACTCTTGCGAATCTCCACTCAAGCCAGCCAATTAAGGCAAGAATGAGGTGGGAGTGCTTGTTCCTCATCAGTGTTCACTCCAGCTCGTCACGAGGACTAACCGGAGAGAGAAGAACAAG